ACCTGTATTGCTTTCACACAAACATTGTTGCGCTGAAAGCAATGCATTAAAATGTGTATTACATTCTGGGCCTGAATTTGGGTCATATAATGGGCTATCAGTGAATACTTTTTGGCGTAAAAACTATCACAAAGTTATTTATTTTGCTTTTCAAACACTAAAATTCAAAGAACTGTAACACAAGAGTTAATGGATTAAAGTTTTCAGAAAAACCATTCATTACTTCTCTCTGTGAAGCACTAATTCAAACGCTATAAACTTTTCTCAATGAATCAAAGAGTTGTTAAAAACAAAATTGTTTTATTATATGAATTACTTGTAAATTAATAATTGAAATAAAAAAAAACTTATGTTAACTATTGGTTTAAGTTTTGGTGGTTTGTTGTGATGCTATCGCTGACTGTTGTCTGTATTGCAAGAGTTCCATAATTGCTGTCAAAGAATAAATAATTAAATTATTAATAATTAAATACTTGTTTTCAATCAATTAGTTTTGAAAATTAATTTAATATAAATTAAATATTAAATTGTAATATAATTATGACAAGTATTATATATGGGACACACCCAACGCCCCCATACCTCCCAGTATTAAATATTAATATTAAAACAAATAAAGTATTTATTTTTAATATAACATTAATGTGTGTTAATCTAAAAATATTTATAAAAACGGATACAATGTATAAAGTTTTTCATCAATCAATCATTATGTCTGACATTTCTTATGAGGCCATCAAATGATGGTTTTGAATAAAAATCAAATAATATAGCGTTTACTTGGATTTTATACCTTTTTACTATTAAACTAAATAATTAAAAAAACGTCTGAAAATTTAATATCAATTCTCAAACATTAATTCCTCTCAATCTCTATAACCATCAAAAGGATTACAAAAACGGGTTTAAATAAATATCTATTAAAATGAGTGCTCATATATTATATGCGACAAGCGTTGCCTCCCATGCCATGGCTCTCAACCATAACTGTTTGTCTGCATTTGTAAATCAAAGTCTGTGTGCGAAAAGTGTGGACAAAGCGGATGGAAGGGCTCGCCAGTGAAAAAGAACGCAATTAAAGTGCATAAACAGCTAGACAAGCGGCTCTTTGACTTGAAAAGCAAACTTCATTAGCAAACGCCTAAACCATAAGAAGACCTGCATTATTCCGGTTCCGATGTCGACCACAAACTCGTTGTTGTCTTCGATAACTGCCGGCACATACATAGAGCCGGTCAGAGGCACCAGTATTTGCGACCCTTTCGGCACATCCTTTTGTCGGTCGACCGCCAGAGAGGACTCATTGAACTTGATTTTGGCGTTTTGTAGGCTTTGCACAGAAGTCTCTAAGATCTCCACTTCCTGTCAATGCAATCAAACCATTCAATACATGTCTGCATATCATCACCCAAACAGTTCCCAATCACTTACGGCCTCCAGTTGTTGCTTAATCTGCAACAACTGCTGTGAATTCATTTCATTCAAATCCACTCTTCGCTCTTTGTTTGCCATCACTTCCAACGCTTCCGTAAATCCGATTCAAATGCAAATTCAAAATCAAATCTCGTTTTAAATCACTTTTCAATTCAATAAACGCTTTGTTTTTCTTCACAATTAAATCATTTCAAACATAAAACTCTTATTAACTGTTCGTAAATGAAGTAACAATAAAACTGTAAATTTGTTCCCCTTTTATAGAAATGCACACAAATATAAGCTATGAATCAAATTAAATGTTTCTCAACCCCTAATAAATAAGTAACGGTATAAGTGAATGATAAGTGTAAGCAAACATGCCGTGCTATGAGTGTTGCCATCGCTTGGATTTATATTAATTCACAATTCATTTAACATTTTTATATATTTTAAAATTTTTTAATTTTTATTAAGAATTAGTTTTAATTTGTAATACATTTTTGTTGCACACAAATCATATACCAATTCATAATATGATTGCAAATTTATTAATTAAATGAAATTTTGTCATAAAATATTTAATCAGAAACTTATGACAGGAATTGGATATACAATCATAGGATCCGATTAATGAAGACCTCAACCATTGGTTTATAAATTTGGATAAAATATAATTTGTATTTTATATCAAAAATCAATCATCAAATCAATTATGCGTTTAAAAAATTTGTCGAAAGTGTGACCAAAATAAGTGATAACTAAATCTCTAAATGATTTGAATCTACAAAAAATTTGACATAATATTTACGTTAGTGTAATAAAAGGCACTTAAAATTACTTCAATATTACATTTATATCGCATATAATAGACAGTAATTTATCGTAAAATATCTAAAGATTTATATTATCATAACTTTCAGTGATTTGCACGAAAGGAATGTTCCAAACGCTTAAGATTTAGCTAATCTGAGGACATGAAGAATCACTTCATCGACGGTCTGATTGTTGAGCAAAGTTTTCACTGCATTATCATCGATGACGACAGTAAACAAGAGCTTAGAGTTCTCTCGAAGTCTGTCATAATAGCTGTAACTGTCGTGTTTGACAGGTGTGTGTCCGCACCGTTTGATCACCGCTTCGAGCAGTTCATCGACGGGAGCGTCNGAGCAAAGTTTTCACTGCATTATCATCGATGACGACAGTAAACAAGAGCTTAGAGTTCTCTCGAAGTCTGTCATAATAGCTGTAACTGTCGTGTTTGACAGGTGTGTGTCCGCACCGTTTGATCACCGCTTCGAGCAGTTCATCGACGGGAGCGTCGGGCCATCCAAACCCTTTCAGCGTTGTCTCGTCCACCAAAAGACTCAGCAATTCTCGTATGGAATCGCATAACTTTTGTTCGCTTAGAACCCGATTGTTGACCGCATAACCGCTCGAACCGGGAGAGGCCGCAGAACCAGACGCCTCGTCGTCGTCCTTATCCTCCATCAGAATCTTGTCGAGTAAATCGCGATGTCTTTTACGCATATGTCGGAGAAGACAATCCTTGCGAATGAAAGCCCGGCCGCACTCATGACAACTGCGCGGCTCTTCCTTCGTGTGCGTCAATAAATGCAGTTTCAGAGACGGCTTTATGGAGAAGCTATGAACACATCGTAATTAGTCTCAAATATTGTCTTCATTTCATTCATAACATACCGTTTTAGACAAGTGGGGCACTGATGAGGCTTTTCTCCCGTATGCAACACATAATGTCGATTAAGATCTTCCTTTCGAGTGAATCGTTTGCCACAATCGTCGCACTCAAAGGGTCTGTCCTTCTCGTGGACATATCGGGTATGCATCTGAAGTCTGGCCTTTCTGTTGAAGATCTTTGAGCAGAACTCGCATTTGAATCCATTCTGTCCGGTGTGGTAGAAGAGATGCGCTTTGAGACCTCCCGCTTGGATGAACTGTTTGCCACAATAGGGACACTTGTGGGGACGGATTCCCGTATGGATTCTCATGTGTCGATTCAGAGTGCCCTTCAGTGAGAAGCGAATGTCACAATCGGGACAATTGTACGGCTTTTCTCCCGTATGTATGCGTCGGTGTTTAGTGAGAGCGCCTCCCGATGGGAATGCTTTGGGACAGAAGTCGCAGGTGAATGGCTTTTCGCCGGTATGTGTCCGCACATGTATTCTGAGAAGACTCGCCCCGTGAAACATCTTCGGGCAGTGATCGCACTTAAACTTCTTCTTTCGGGTCACTTCTCCCGCGTGTACTCTCAAGTGTTCGCGTAAATTGTCTTTTCTTGTGTACACTTTGCCGCACACTTCGCACGGATGGGCCGGCGGTGGCTGTCCTGAACAGGGCGTCAGCTGCAAGTGTCGGTCCAAATGGTATTTCCGAGTGAAGATCTTTTCGCAAACGTGACATCTGTAGCCCTTGTCTTCATGGGCTGTCACTTCGTGAACGACCAATGAATGCATATCTGGGAACTCAAGACCGCAGTCAAGACATGGAAGGCTTTTATTGTTATTATTGGCAACGGATTCGGTATCCATTTCTTCGACACTTTCTTTCGCTTTGGCTTTTCGTTTCGGTCTCTTCTTAGGAGTGGTTTCGCTGTTGATCTCCGTTTCAGAACAGATTCCCTCCAAAACTATTCCGCTGAACGAATCATTATCTCCTGGACTTAAGACCGGTTCCGGAAGCGATTTCTTCGCCACTACTGGACTGCAATCCGATTCTAAACAATCCATTTAAACATTCAAATGATTAAAAGTTGACCACAAATACAGGCAATAATTGTTTGGTTAAATATTTACGTTTGAAATGCTGATCATCGATGGCAGCGATGTCTAAGTCCTCGTCGTCCACACTTGTGATCAGTTCATTGCCATCGTATTCATCGATAATTTCCGTTTCAATGTTTTCCAATTCAATTGTCTGCAAATCCAAAAGCGGTATATTTTTCTGTTAATTTGTCTTTCATTAGAGAAATGGCCGTAAAATAAGAAATGATATTAATTTACATTATTCTTAGCGTTTGCCCGCCGTTTGGCCGACGGTTTAGTGACCACAACATTGTTGGAAGCGTTTGATTGGTCTCTCTTCGATCGCGTCACCCGTTTCTCAACCGTCTTCTCAATGAAATCGCTTTTCTTTTTTCGACCCATTCTTCAAATCATTGCTTTTATAACCAGTTTTTACTTTCTATGAGATAAACAACTCTTTTAATTACATTCAGATCTCATATTTCCTATTAATTATATTTTTAAAACTATTACTAATTATCATCAGTTCCTCAAACTATTTAAACATTTGCAAAAAAATTAATTTTCAAATTAATAACAATTTTATCATTTTTCACATTCACTTAATTGTGTCTAAAGTGTTGAAAGTGCGGAAAGAGAGGCAATACCTGTCCCTCCGATTGTAATCTAGTTTAATAATTAAAGGATAATTATATTTCAAGTAAAGCCTTACACTACGGGACCAATTGCCCAATTTGAATAACCACCTTGCTCAGTTTGGGCTCAGTTTGGTGCTCTAATTGAGTATAGTTTTAGATATAGATAACTAACTGTAATCAAAGTGATATCAATTGGTGTATAAATGTTATCATTTACTCAATATTTATAATTAATAGAAAAGCTGTAATAAATGGCAGTAATGTGTGAATTGAGTACATCTGTGGTCAACGAGACATTCATTTGAGAGATAATTGCAATTAAATGATAAAATGCGTGAATATATGGGATGAATGGTTGGGTCTATGGATGGGATGGGAGGACAGGAGTGACGGGAGAGTCGCGTATTTGTAGCAAAAATGTCTGATTGTCTGTAAAGCACAACAACTCAACACTATATCAATGTTTGCCTCCTTTAAGGGGCACTCAATTGGACACAAATGACTGACATTTGGCTTCAATGCGAAGACAAGTGATCCACAAAATGACTCAATACTCACTCATTTCAGGTGAAACACATGATGTGGTGACCAAATGCTATCATTCAACACAACGGTTGAAGAGTATTGACTGAATTGAAGAGCGAAGACAGCAATGAATTGAAGGCACTGTTGAGGGATGTGTTGAACACAGAAAACACTGCAAAACACATACAATATTGAGAGAAAGGCATCCAAACTGTTATGACGTACAGAAAGGCTCGACAGTAAGGCTTCAATGTATTCATCAGAAACTATACACCAATTGAGCGCTCAATTCAATCACACATTCACTGTCTGTCCATCACTTGATTCAAGCAATCTTTCTGTTCATTTCTTCACTCAAACACTCTATTAATTGTCTAATAATTTTAATATTTCTCTATATTTTGTGTAATATTTGCATTAAATGCTTATTTCTATGACATTTCTAATTATAATATAATTAAATAACTATTGGTTTCATTTGTAGAGTTATACTAACTTAAAGTGGATGCGAGTTATATAAGAATTGTTGCATTCATTTAACTATAAATACTTTTATAAGTTTAAAACTTTAAGACATGTGATATAAGAATAAAAATTTTAGTCTTATAAATAACACTTTTAGAATATGTATTTTTTCATTAACAAATATGTAATATAACATTAAATAAATTTTATTAAAAATGGTCAAATATTTGCTCATCTTTAGAGTCTCTATTTTTCGGGAACTCCCGAATAAATTTAGTGAATAAAAACTTCGGGAAATACAAACCATTAGGCTTATAGGCCTAAATACAACCAATATACATATTTTTTATATTCCCGATTTTTCCCGATTTTCGCATATTTTGAGAAAACTCCCGAAACTCCCGAAATACTCCCGAAACTCCCGAATTATTCCCGAAAATGCACTTTTGTCACGAAAAACCTTTATAATCATGGCTTTTTCTTCAAATATTTTATTGAAATCTTAAATAAATACCAAAAACTGTTATAAAGTTCAAATAATGTGTGATAAAAGTATTGTATCAATCTTTAAACTCAAAACATTTTGAGATGAGATGTCTTACAACATATGCACTTATTGTCTCCGTCGAAGTCGAGCGTTTTGTCTTTCAATTTAAGAATATTATTACAGATAGAAAGCATAGATTTACAGAACAAAATCTCAAATTTCATGTTATTATCAAATATAATTCATTTTTAAACGGTTTAAATGCATAATTATTGTTTTAATGTTAAAATAAAGTAAATTTTAACTAAAGATTTTATTCCCGAATTTGGCTATTTTATGCTCCCGATTCCCGCCCGAATTTAGGTGTTTTTATTCCCGAAAAATAGAGACTCTACTCATCTTATATGAGGCATATATTTACTAAAAAGTGGAATTGACTTTTTTCCCGTCCTGTTGAAAAATTTTAAAAAATAATATAGTAGTATTAAACGCTGAATTCGAATATGGAATACATTTTATTTTATCTTGATATTTTTGCAAATTATTTGACTTAGAATTTTTTACTTCAATAATTTTAAATATTTAATAATATTAGAACATATGAATTTTACACTTGTTTCAATATTTGTAAATAGCATTTATAAATAGAATTTTGAAATATTCAAGTTTAAAATACTAAAACGACCATATTGAAAACAAGGCTCACACAGCGATGTTATACGTTAACCACAATTCGGGTGATGCTCAAATAATACATTAGCATTATCTACAAATTTAATAAATGTCGATAGGATTAGCACTCCCCATAGAAACCCATGTTAAAGCGTCCCCTTGTTAATCCTATGAGAGCTTTCCAATGTTAAAGTATAGCCATAGACTTAAGCTGTAAATCCATGTTAAATCCCATAGAGTGGGAGGGCTGGGGGAGGGACATCACGATCCTATAAACCACATTCTTCATATATGAATTGTGGTTAAAAATATTGTGAATTTTTAACTAATAATGATAATTTATAAATAGTAATTTTTACAAATGAGAAAAAACAAGTAAAACAACTGTTACGACTTTATTACAACCGTATTTTTAAAGTTGTAAAGGTTAAACATTTTTAAGAATAATGGAATCTGGGCACACATATAATGGAATAAAAATAAACCATTTTTATTTTCCCGAATACTCCCGATTTTGGAATATTTTGAGAATATTCCCGATTTTGACATATTTTAGAACAAAAATCCCGAAATTTTATGCAAAATAACTCCCGGTTCCCGACCGAATTTGGTGGTTTTTAGTCCCGAATAATCTTTGCTCTAACTATAACTCACAAGTAAATAACAATTGAATTTCTCAATGAACACAATTACCGAACCGCCCCTAAAACCCGTATTGAAAAGCATTAAGAATAATGTGTGCTTTCGGTGTCTGAAAGGTCTAAAGAAGAATAAATCTTCTAGAGATTGACGAAATGGTCACTCTATTTACAACTTCTTTAAAATTATTTTATGGATACTGTAATATTGAGTCTATTTATAGAATATAGATAGTTATTTGATGCTTGGAAATTATTACGACATCAATATTTGTTTTTGTTACATCTTATTTTGAATATAAATTATTAAAATATATAGTTCAATTAACAGTAAGAATTTAATTAAACGGAATTTTTTATTTTGACGTTTTACTCCTGGTTTCCAATCCAATTGTGATGTTTTCATTTCAGAATAATTATAACATTATATGTGATATGGGATAGCGTTGCCAGAATATATTTGGGATATTTTGTATAAAAGTGAAAATTTTACCTAAAATCCCTGTAAAGTTATTTCATTCATTTTATATTAAATTTACTTAAAATTCATACAATTTCAAAAGATTTTGCAATAATTTGGATGTCTTTACAAAATATTTATAATAAAATTAATTGAGTTTAAATTCATTCGATTTATAGCATTAACCCAGACTTTGGGTGCAGTGGGTGTACACTCACTTTATAAACAAATCGGAATATTTTAATGCTTTTACAATTATTGCTAAAATATTTATTCTTGTATTATTCAATGTACAGGAATGACACCTTCCTATACTTTGGGAAATTTTCTTAATTGCAGGTCATTCCTGTATATCTGGCAAACGTAGATATGGACATATATTATGGCTAATAATGATTGTAAAATTTTGGGATACTATTATTGTTATCTAACCAGTCAAATGAAAGTGTCGCTGCGGTTTTTGTGATTACAGCTAAACTAGAAGAGCTAGATCAAATCTGTAAAAAGTAAAATGAAGGTCCACATGTCTAGTTTTTTGTATTAAAAAATAATTAAAATCACGTGACCACAACACAGAAATTTTTGGGTCAAATCGATTTGCCATGTTTTGTGCCCACCTCGAGGGGGGCTAGGAAGGGCGCGGGTAT